TCAAATTCACTCAACATCATTTATAAAATGTTTCGTGTAATAAAGAAGTAACTGCAACTACACTTAACACGTTGTGAAGTTTTGCTGGGTAGAAAGTATGTAACTATAATCACACATAAACTATTAGCAAAAATTTTTGTAGAAGAAATAGGTAATTAGAATTACACAATAGTCCTAGATTGTAAAATACAGGAACAAGTAATTATGTATATTTGCGTAATAGAGTTTCTTGGAAACCTTATTTTAAAATTTACGTAAATATTATTATGACTTTATCAGCGGAGTAAATTTGAGAGCGAATAAATGTAAATATGCATACCTCTATTTTATGCTGGATTTTTATGTTTTTTAAAGTCGCAAAATTTTTGTTTTTTTGCATTTATTCCTTCATTTTTGTAAATAGCTCCACGAAATTTTGACAGAAGGTGTAAACCATGATGCTCGTTTTATTTACGCAATAAAAATTTTTTGACGTAAGTTTAGTTACGTCCTTTTTACACTTACCAAAACCATTCAGCCAACATTATAAATAGACGTAACTCAAAAACGATAACAAACGAAAATAAACTTATATCGTAACAGAATAATGATGTAATCACTTTAAAACGTTAAGTAAATAGGTCATTACATTATTTATTGAAAGTGAATTTGTCATATACCTAATTCAGATGAAATATTTTGAACATGATCGCGAATGCCATGCTGGGTTATGCGCGAATGCAAAGCTGGACTAAGTAACATACTTAGCATAATATCAAACCATTCATATAATGAAGGGGTAGGCACAGGTTTAATCACATTACAAGTCAAATTTAAACTTGACTTTTGTGTCATTAACACACACACACACACACACACACACACACACACACACACACACACACACACACACACACACACACACAAACAAACACACACTCACACACACAAACAAACTCACAAACTCACACACGCACGCACGCACGCACAAACAAACACACACACACACACTCATATCGTGAATATCGTCACTCCACCCATCTGAAGGGTGCCCTACACTTAGTGTGGCAGAGCCATGCTTCGGCACGAATGGGCCGGCTCGACTGGAGTAGATACCACTACCAATTTCATTGTGTTGGACCGCCATTGGACACTTGGCGGCGCTGATTGCATCGGGTAATCTGACTATTCATTTGCCGAAATAGATAAAAAATAACAGTGCGCACTGTCTATACATATCTTCATTGCACTCCAAATGCGACAAAAAGTCGTCAAAAATCACAATTGCAGGCGATTTTTTTTAAATATAACGTTGCCTCACATTAGGTTTATACTGAAATGTAATGCATTAGGCCACAAGTGTAATTGTTTGTAATTGAATGAGATATGGCTTCGTTGTTTTGTTTACAGTTTCACCGGATGCTCGTAATGTTTGCTGACGATGGAAATTGGAACATACGACGTGTTATTAGGGTTGCTAGTTATTTATCCTGGTGTTCTTATTTCATCACTTTATGGTAAACATTGTGCGGGGTAAATGGATAATAATATCAGAGGAGTTACAAGCGCGTTGCCGGTTCCTTGGGGATAAGGGATTTGGGGATTAGGGAGGAGGGATAAGATAAGGTTTCCTATTACTTAGGTATTCCAATTCTTACAGCTGTTCAAACGTTATGAGATATAGGACGAACCGTATGTATGTTTGTCATTCATTTACACAAAAACTACTGTACAGATCTGGATGAAATTTGGCACAAGAAAGCTTACCTATGTATTGATCATTATGTGCATGTGAAATTGTATGTTTGTAAATGCACTCACGACGCACAAGACAATCCTAGAGTGAGCAATGTTTTCTTAAAAAAATATGTTGAAAAACAAATAAGCTGCTTCTTTAATTTAGTAACGGAAGCTAGAATTTACCTACATTTTTAAACTTTGAAGACTTGAAAGGCCTGTGTTAATATTGCTTATGTAGCCTAATGTCGAGAGACCAGCTTTTGGGTGGTCTGGATTTATTTTAGTCTGTAATCTATTTATTACAAGCTACTCCCGTGCCCATAGGTACCTACATAGGTTTGGAACTCACAGCTGTGTAGTTGAAGACATGAACGAAACATGGATGGACCACTAGTCATGGATTGTGAGAAAAAGAATTTTAAGTGTGACAGAGCCATGATTAAATGGGATGGCCTCGAACGGAGTGATACCGCGCACATCACGAAAACCAGCATAAAACAACTAAACGAACTAGAAACTGAACAAACAAGTGAATTTGGTAGACACTCAAGATCTATTCTATGCCAATTCCCTAATCCTATATCTCCAAAACTCTAATCCCTAAAAGGACAGCAATGCACTCCTAACTAATCTAGCGGGTTAACTGTCGGCGATAAACCATCTTTACCGCCCCTTCCCATAAAAAATACGAGCTTCGAGTTCTTTCTGAAGTGAAAAATAAAATGAAAAACATCCAGATCTTTTCAGTAATATTCCGTAAACCCATTACAAAGGAGATGAAAGGAAGATATTGTGCATTTAATAGCCATTACACGTTGCATCACAGAACATTTCTGTAACCAAAACATACAATACGCAGAATGTTGGCACTCAAATACAGGCAAAATATGTAAACATTGCCACTAATACTTCATATTTCTCGTTTTCGTTGCTGTTTTTATGCCTAAGAATGGGCGTTTATATTTCTAATGCACTAGCTACTCTCCCGCAGTTTTACCCGCTGCTCGGCTTCTATCGATCCTAGCGTGATGTTTTATAGCCTATTAGCACTCAGAAATATTGTTGCTATCTATCAGTGAAAGAATTTTGACAATCCGACTAGCGGTTCCAAAGATTCCTCCTGGACAAAAAATGTAAGCAACAGACGACACGATTTGATTAAAGTGGTGATTAATGGATTATCATTACCTATGTCAATTTAAAAAGTAGAAATTTCTAGAACTACAGCACTAAAAGAATTACGAATAATAACGTTAAAGAGTTAAACCCTTTCAAAACTTGATGCTAAATAAAATATGAAATATATTTTGCAACATATTATTTTCTAAACAAATGTTTAAATAGTATTAATTTTAAATCATATACTTTCTTTTTGAGACTTGAAACTAACAAATTCAAAATTAAGGCCTTGAGCTAGTTCTATAAATCTTGTCTAAACGCCTAAAGGCCTTTTGTAGAAAAGGGTCACATCAACCACCACGCTTGCTCCAGACGGATTAGCGATGTCATCCTTATAATTGAATTGATGGGTGGACGGCTTCCATGCGGAAATACGCAAGCAGCTCGCATCTTTGCTAAGCAGAGTCAGGAGCAGCACTAACAGCATACAAAGGTTATTGCGGAAAAGCAGGACTCAAACGTATTGAAATCAATTATACGTGCTCAAATTTTGTAATCTTTTTCATTTGCAGATGTTAATGGTTTTTGTATGAAATTCATAATTACAAAATAATGAATGAATTCAATATTTTGGACATTGGGCTGAAATAAAGATTATATTATTGTAAGCCCGTTTTTCCCTCACCGTTTGTCAGTGGTGTCTAAATGAAAAAAGTACACACGACGCCAACTTTTGGAGCTAATATTTTTTATTTACCATCAGCATGAATCACAATTTGTACTTAAGATAAAAGATTTAAAAAATTGTTTTGAGACCTGATTAAGGGCTGACTTTTCAATAGCCAGATAAATTTTATCTGGGCTGTTACTTTTGCTAAATTGAATGTTGCTGTCACTGTCTCTTACAAATATTCTGACGTGACAGCATCATAATTATTCCCAAGTCGATTTTGTTCTATTGATATAGGTTGCTTTTTATCAACACCAACACAGCACGCGGGCGAAGCCGCTGGCGGAAGCTAGTATAAGCATATTTCAATGAAATTTCTTAACCTAGATCCACCTATATATGTATACAGTGAATTAAGTTTTTTTTCAATTAATTTATTAAGTCTCAGGATATTTACTTTTCAAAAACTGTTTTTATCTTTTAGTAAAACAAAGAGATTCTTTTTTAGTACGAGAATGACAAAACATTTAGTTGCTTATAAACAAATGATTATATTTCGACAATATATACAACGAATAACTTATAATTAAATATTCATTATTTATAATATAACTTTAAGTATTTTCCAATACAATAACTATGATTAAACAGAAATACTTTCACTTACTCAGAAAAATAAAAATTCAGTCTTTTGTAAAATATTATCACCGGATTATTATACTGTTTTCTTTTCCTGCCTTAAATAAAATAATTATAGTTAAAATGTATTAACATAATATTAATATTCCGGCCAACTAATGTAATAAGCCATTCAGCTACCAACCTGATAGACCAGCCATTTGATTAAAAATCTGAATTTTGTACACTGGCTGTAAGTTGAAGGAAGAAAGATAAGTCATTAAAATTGAAATGATGCCAGAATAAGGTTGGATTAGAACTATGCACAGATAATGGCCATAAGAAAAAAACCCTGGTAATAGTTTATTTCTTACGACTATGCATTTGAATTGTAATATCGTTTAATAAAAAGGCTAGGCCATCAATTGAAAGGCTTGTTAAGTTAGTCGGGAGCGTCATTTACATAATATTCAAGCTACACATATTTATTGTAATTAGTTCTCTATTCTTTCTATCCATACATAATCACTTACCACATAGTCTAATAGGCTTGTGAAAAACCAATTCAAATTCCGTTTTTATTTTTTTAATTAAAAAGCCCCATATTCTTTATTAATTATCATAAATAATTTATCACATCCAACTCATAACTTCAGAGGTCAGTGCGTCGAACCTTTTGACCGACATTGAACGAAAAATAGGCTATGTCAAAGGGTCAAACTAACACATTCTTTTTCTGCAATGTCAGAAGGTTAGATATTTTTTTTTTTTTAAATCTGCCATAAAGAAAAATATCAATTTGACTCTATACTTGCATTTTAATTACAAGTACAGTTTAGAAAATGACCCATATGATAAATAAATCCGAATTCGCGTTACAATTAATACGTTTGACTGCACGGTTGGTGCGGTGGCTGCCACGCAACGTATCGCGTTTTCAATTCCCGCACGGAAAAACTCTTTGTATGATCCACAAACTGTTGTTCCGGGTCTAGATGAGATCTGTATGTGAAATAGTATATAGCACTCACAGCACAGAGGAAAATCCTAAAGTTGGGCAACGTTACATTGTAATAAAAATAAGACCAGACATTCCCACATCTGCCACTTCTCTAAGCTATAAATTTGAGGCATTTTTCAATTAAGTATAAAGAAATATAGCCTGTCACGTATCAAAATAATATCGCATGCCTCCGAAATATAACCAGGCTATTTCCTTTAAAAAATGTTCTCATTTTTCTGAATAAGTGTTACTATTCTCAAACTAAGTTTCATTATAAACAGTATTGTAGACCATCTCCTGTATCTTCATTCTTAACATTAGTTTTTTAGCCGGTCCTAATTTCTTGACGTGAGGAAGCAGGCTATTGAAGAAGCCTATATCTTCATCCTTCGCAACTGGCTCACTTGGTTCAGTAGTAGCACTCTTCTGTGCATCATCATCGTCATCATAAAAATCTGTTTCCATTATAATTGGTTTAGTATCAAATTCATCAAAATCGTCTTCTTTAACGCTAACATCATTGGTTGGTTCTATGTTGTAATAGCTGCTTCCTTGATCTGCATCATAATCTTGTGTGTAGGATTCATCTGGTATTTCATTGCCTTCATAGTCATTGAATTGGTTTGTGAGGAATTGCAGTTTTGGGAGGTACTCCCAATCTGATCCTGATTGCTTCCTTACCTCCTTCCTCGCTTGGTCTCTTAGGTACTTCCATTTGAGTCTTGCTTCGTCACCTGGAAATTGTTATGCTTAACGTTAGCACCAGTAGTAAGAAGGTTTACAATGTCTAAACATGACAGAATTTAGATTTAACCTAGATTATTGTTTTATCAGACTTGTACCATCATTACTAGACAAACCTAATGCGACAGCAAAAACAATAGGTATACATAACGTTGCGTTTCGCCGCGTGACTGTGGTTACCAGAGGCCCAATAAATAACCCAATGATTAATTCTCAAATCCTCTGTCCGTAAATCATTAGCAATCCAAAAAAGGCCGGCAACACAGTCGTATCGTAGTAATAATAACTCTATAAAAGAGGGACTCCCAAGAAATCAACACTAATAACAATATTTTCGTATGATTTAGTTTTATTCATCGACAAATCTAATATCCCAAATAATCAGTCGAAGTAGTCTTTGGGTGATATAACCCGTTGTATGCCGGAACTTGTTATAAGCGAGACACTATGTAGACTACACGGTTGGCGCATTTGCTGGGCAACTGGCTGCCGCGCAACGTGCCGCGGGTTCGATTCCCGCACGGAACAACTCTTTGTGTGATCCACAGTTTGTCGTTCCGGGTCTGGGTGTGATGCGTATGAGAAATTGCATGCTTATAAACGCACCGGACCGACCCAGGATAAAACCTAGGGTGGGTCAACGTTCTTAAAAAGACAAAGTGTTTTCAATTGTGACTCATTTGTCTGTTAATTTGGTTAACTAAATAAAGACATTCTAGAGAACCCGGGAACCAAACCCAGAGAGCATTTCCTGTTCTATTATCTAAATATTTTTTTAATTTGTATATAATATGGTTTCTAACTGTAACATTTACAAATTAGATAAAATAATTAAACTTTGTATAAGAAAAAATTACAAACGCCCTTTAATTTTTACGCAATCTTTATCCTGTCCTCATCTTTAATTTACATATAACTAGCTTTTGTTAGCGACTTTGTTCGCGTGTTATAGTGACTTCCCCCAAATTTTTGGTTTCTTTCAGCTTTCTCGAGTTCCAAACTATGTCTGTACCAAATTTCACACAAATAGGTTCAGTAGTTTAGGCGTGAAGAAAAGACAGACAGACATACAGAGTTACTTTCGCATTTACAATATTAGTTTGAATAAGCATAGGAGAGCCATGCTTCGGAATGAATGCGTCGGCTCGAAGGGAGTGATACTACGGCCTTACAAAAAACGGCGTGAAATAACCACAGAGTTCTAGCTATTTCACTGTGTATATGAAGTTCCCGGAGGTCCAATCCTTCCCCTCCTCATCCCTTCCCTCCCAGATCCCAAATTCTCCGAAACCCTAATCCCCAAAAAGGTCAGCAACGCACTCGTAACTCCTTTATTTGATTTGCGGGTGTTATAGGCGGCTTCGATTGCTTGCCATCAGGTAATCCGTCTGCTCGTTGCCCAACCTATAACATAAAAAGGGCAGATAAAAAACTTACGTGTACAATCCAACTCTTGCGCAACCTCCTTCCAGCTTTCATCAAGCTTGTACCAGTTATGGTGGCCTTTGAGTGACCTGTTCCAAATTATCTCCCTAACGCGAACCAAATCAATAAGCTTATTCATATCAACATCTATAGCCCTTCGCTTGTTCATCAAGAGCTTCTTTCTCATGGTGTAGCCTAATTTAGGCCTCTTTATGGACTCGTCCAGAGAATTGAAGACCTCATCAGTAGTATCCTCGTCCCCTTCCTCATCTTCGGCCACGAACTGGTGATGAATGAATTTCAACTTCTGGAAATGCGGCCATTCCGATTCTGTCGGGTTTTTCTTCATCTCCTTGCGGCATTGGTCTTTTAGGTTCTTCCATTTTTTGCGACAGTTCAAACCTGGAAGTTTTAATTGATTTATAGGTTTTTTAATCTAAATATTACGAAGTTAGTTTTTGATTTAATGATGAACCCGTTCTGATAATTTTGATTTCTTTGTTTATTAACTGCCAAACATTTATAAAATGAAAAAATTGCAGGGTCGGGATCAATCTTCATTAAAAATGTACTCATTGTTTAATTTTTTAGAGTTTCCTAGAAGCTGGTCGGACCAGTAAATCTGCCTTCTCAAAGTTTAGCCTAAGCCTAAATACCATCTAAATACCTAATCCGTAAATCGGTAAAATACTATAAAATACAAAAAAAACAATGTGTCTAGAAAAAAATATAATCGGTTTAAAATATCTAGAGCAGTCTTCACCTCTTAAGAGAAAAACATCGTGGTATTTTATCTTTAATCTTTACAGAAATTAAAATAAATAATTATATTTCCTTTTCAATCTTACTAGAGTTAATTATTTATTCCAAATAAACATTTCTTTCATATAAAATCAAAGTTTAGTAAAGAAACGCGCGTCCTCTAACAGCGCTACGATTTTAGTTACTTTAATTTTTCCAGACAATAATGTTTAAATTCCACAAAAAAGTAACCAATTCTCTATTTACGTAAGTATTATTATTACCTATAAGATATTATCGAATGACCTTGCTCTTGAAAATACTTTCTTTGTAGGTCACGTCTGACTTATTATGTGTTCTAATTTCACATAAAAGCTACAATTTGTTAACTAAATACACCATATTACAATCAATAAGAGATGGAAGAGACATGCTAAAATTAACTCCAATACCAACATAATATAATTACTGCATTTTACGGCGTCGCATTATAAGTAGGTAAGCCGGCCATCTGCAAACCGCGCGTCAAGAAACATAAACAAACGTCCTCCTACCAATAATTCAATAACTGCGCAAACAGCGGAGCAGAGCGCTCGCTCGCTCGGCCGTTAACCTTCGGGTGAAACTCAAAGCGAACTCAATACTCACTCGTCGTCCCAACCTCAGCCGCCACTTCATTCCAATATCGCTCCAACTTGAAGCGATTCCTGTGCCCCCTGTAGCTCTTGTCCCATAAACATTCCCGGGCCTGGACAGCTGCGATCAGCTTGTCCATGTTCTTGGTTCTCGCTCCCTTTACTTTAGACTTCATTGTGGAGCGGGCGCGCAGGCGGGAGCGTCAGCGACGACGGGTTGTACGAGCGAGGCGCGGCGCGGAACTGACGGCCGCCCGCGCCCTTCCCGTGCACCGGCCGGCGGCGTCCGCTTCGCTCCGTCGCCCGCTCCAACATATCGCTGTCCTCTTCGCTCGACGCGTCGCTCCCCTCTAGAGGCGACACGCCTCGCCGATTTAAAACCGCTGTTTCCCTTTCCACCGCTATTTTGTAACAACAACATAGACTTTAGTGATCCATTGCGTTTTGTTGACTCACGGTAGTAGCTAGTTTCCTTATTGTAGCAGTAATGTATGGTGTGTTTATCGAGAGGATAGCGTTTATGTAAAGGCGGGTTGATATCGTGATCGTTACCGGTTAGTAACAATGGTCGCAGTAGAAGCGATTCAGCGCGTTGGCGTGTTTCGTGAACCGACAGCCGGTCGCTCAATAAGCTAGCGTGCGCTACCTGCAGTCTCAACTACCGTGGCCATATTGTTAGCTTTAAATTTAAGTAAATAACTATACCTACTTACATTACCATTTCTTTTATAACTCTTGTTGTTATAAGATTTTAAAGGTCGAATATAATAGGGTTAGGTTTTGTAAAGTATAAATAGGTCTCCATGGTGATATGCACCTAGTCTGACCTCATACCTACTTACCTATATTTATATAGGTACTTAGTATTTTGTTAGTGGAGGAGTTTAAAAAAGACATTTCACATACCTACTCACCATATCTACCTACCAAATAAAGTTGAGAATATACTTATTACTATATATCTATCTATAGCTTGAACTAGGTATCTACCAGTTAAATTGGTCCGGTATTTATGTGAATACTAGCGAGCCGCCCCGGTTTCGCACGCGTGCAAAGTTTGTACTAAATTTCCCCACTATTTAATGGATGTTATTACATGATAGATGTTTAGAATTTAGATAAACTTTCCTTCAATGACTCTATCTATTAAAATAAGCCGTAGTAAAATACGTAGGGTAGTTTTAAAGATTTAAGCATACATATGGATATAGGGACAGAGAAAGCGATTTTGTTTTATCCCCTTGGTACCCTCGCTCTTTCAATTCAGCCTTCGATGGTTGTCTATTGTTCAACTATGAATCTACCTGACCACCTTAACGCGTTCAGTTCTATGGTCGTGCTAAAAAAAAATCGAATTCTTACCACAGATATTGAAATCTTAAAATTTTAAGTGTGGGAGAGCCAAGCTTCGGCACGAATGGGTCGGTTCGACCGGAGTGATACCACGGCCTCATAGAAAACCGGCGTGAAATAACCACAGCGTTGTGTTTCGCCATGCGAGTGACGTCACTGGAGGTCTAATCCCCATCCATACTTATTCGAAACCCTTATCCCTAAAAGGCCGCCAACGCACTCGTAATTCCTTTGGTGTTGCGAGTGTCCATGGCGCTGATTGCTTACCATCAGGTAATCCGTCTGCTCGTTTGCAGATCTAGGTATCTCATAAAAAAGATATACGACGTAATTATCTTTGATCCCTTATCCATGGCGACTTGTTGCATCTTATCGATTTCCAGCTAAGCAGAACCATAAGAACCTACGAATAGTCGTTTTTCTATGCTTACTGTTTTCTTAGAAAAATATCAGTCTTCAATACTGAAATTTCCATCAGAAAACAACCTGGAACTGTTTTACCAACTGTTTATTTTGCATTGTGAATAATTATGTGTAGGAGAGCCATGCTTCAACACAAATGCGCCTAATCGACCGAAATGATACCACGGCCTCACAAAAAACCAGCGTGAAACAAAGCTTGCGTTATGTTCACTGTGTTAGTGCGCTTCTAGACGCCCAATCTCCAAATCTTATTTGAGGATTGTCCTCAAATAATTTGTGACAACCATACTTCGGCGCGCGTGTATCGGGATAACAGGAGTGATATCACGGCTTCACAGAATACCGGCGTGAAACAACACTAGCACTGTTTCGCCGTCTGCATAAACCTTCCTTTCCCCCATAACCATAAAGCCACCTTTTCTTAAATCCCTAGTAACACACAAAAGGCTGGCTTGCAATTTCGGTATTGCGGTTGCCCATGGGCAACGCCGATTGCTTACCATCAGGTAATCATTATCTCGTTTGTCGACCTAACACATAAAGAATAATTAGCCTTACCTGACTATCGATAGCTCAAAGTCAATCCTGAACAAATGAAAACCACATCGGATTCACAAAACCCTGATCTCACACGAGAAATTATTAGTGTATACACGCTTATAAAAAGAAATCTAGTTTCACAATTAGGACTCCAGGATATCCTCAAGACATCTTCCTTCTAATGAACATAGGAAAATAAAATACCAACTTTTGTTTATCAAAGATTTTTATTTTTTTTAAACATCATAGGAAAACAGTGAAAATTATATTTTAACATAAATTAATATTCTACGCCACACCATCACATCTGTTTCGATATAAAGGGGAATGCAGAGATCTAACAATACGAGTACCTACAATAACGTTTTGTCGGTAATTACTTTGCACATATTATGGAAATTGATAACAAACTCAATAATGTATTGTCATTTTAAAATTGGAAGAGTGCAATTGCATTTTTGACCCCTGACTGTACATCGAAATTCCAAATAAATAATTCCGGACCCTAATCTAGTCTTAGACTTTTCACTAACATAAAACATTATCATTCCCATCATAACGATTTTGAGAAGGTTTGCAACAACTTTGCAATTTTTCGCGAAACTTTCGGCCTCGCACGGCAAAAATTTGGAATGATCTTTAGGCGGCAGTATTTCCAAACTGTTACAACCTTCAAACCTTCAAGTAACGTGTGTACTCCTTTTTAGAAGGCCAGCAATGCGCTCTTTGACTTCTTAGTGTTGCAGGTGTCCATGGGCAGCGCTGATGACTTACCATCAGGTAAATAGTCGGCTCATTAACCTCCTATTCCATAAAAAAACTCACGACCAATCACAGTCGACAAACATTTTAATAATAAAAATAAAATATAATTTAATTCCTTATACTACGACTACGTATTATTTTATCTATTATTGATATTACTTCACGCCTGAATATTCTCATTTCAGGTTCAGTTAACGACTCCACATCTGGCAACATTGAGAGCAGGAACATTTTTCTTGGGTTCCCCTCGATAAATTTGTAATTGTTGTTCCCATTAAACCTCTTCGGCTCCACAGCGTTCTCTGTTCGAATTTTTGTGATGTTTGACATTGTATTGTCGTTAAAAGATACTCTACTGATTTCTCTATTCTGTTCCTTTAGATCTTCTTCGTAATTTGAACTGTCATTATCTGAAGTTTCCTGTTTTTCTGTTGTCATTGTGTTTTCATACTCCATTTTATCATCGCTATGATCATCAGGTAGGATTTCTTTTGGTGATTTGTCTGTTTTAGGCCTTATACTAATGAATGGGTAGAGAAAACGTAGTTCTTCTGTTAGATAGTAAGGTCTCATCGGAGGTTTGTCACTAGCTTGTTGCTTCAAAGACCTCATGAACGATATCCTTATCTTTCTCCATTTATCGCGGCAATCTGGTACTGTAACAAAAGAAAATAGGTTTAATGATTCGATTATTTTTAAGGGGAGACTTCATCCTGGGCTGGGTGGTAGCGTAAAACTCTTACTGACTAAAAAAAGTACATATTTTTTATGTAATAGATCGGCAAACGAGCAGACGTATTACCTGATGGTAAGCAATTAGCGCCGCTCATGGAGGAGTTACGAGTGCGTTGCCGACCTTTTAGGGATTAGGGATTTGGAGATTTAGGGATTGAGGAGGGATTGGGGGAGGGAAGGATTTGGCCTCCGGTAACCCCACTCACACGGCGAAACACAACGCTGTGCTTGTTTCACGCCGGTTTTCTGTGAGGCTGTGGTATCTCTCCGGTCGAGCCGACCCATTCGTGCCGAAGCATGGCTCACCCACACTTTCTTTAATATATAACGTTTAAGGAATTCAGTTGAAAGATTATAGTCATCAAAGTTATTTTGACGTGGCTGGGCAACTGGCTGCTATACAACGTGAAGCGGGTGCGATTCCCGCTCGGATTTATTGTTTCGGGTCTGAGTGGCTTGTGTATATGAATTTGTATGTTTTTAAAAGCACGTGCGACACAGGAGAAAACTCTAGCGTGGGGCAACGTTTTTATGAAGTTTGCAAGCTATTGTAGAGCATTATCGCTTCATCTTTTTCTAATCTAATCGCTCGATCACTAACGGTATGACCTATGCCTTCCATACCAATTGCGCATAATGATGACGTCTAGAGCCATCTATTTTAAAAACCAGCTTAATGGCAAATCAAACTCTATTATAAGAAGGATCAGATCAACAAGTTTGGCTTCTGTAAGCCCAGTTCCTACTTATACTAAGATGTCTTCTCATGCAACAAGCAAGCAGCAATTGACTGTCACATTGCTAAACAAAATATCGATCAGAATGATGATAAAAAATAAGACCGATCATAGAAAATACTGATAAGATTGACTAGTTTCCGCCCGCGTCTTCGCACGGCAACAGAAGTAATGTAGGTATCCGCGGATTTTAAAGAGGTAATTTAGGAATCCATCGCGGACAAACACTTGTAACGAAATTTTTATATGTATTTAAGAAAGATATCGATAGATAGATCGTAGCGTGATGTTTTAACATTGTAGCTATATATCAGTGAAGAATTTTGGCAATCCGACCAGCGGTTCCAAAGATCCTCTATACCTAATTATTTGCAAACAAACTGGATATTCAATGTTATTGCACAATACAAATATTGCGCAATATTACAAGAAGATGAAGATGTGTCATGTGTATACAATATTGCACAATATTTCAATTGATGCTCGCACGAAAATATTGGTTACGATAGATCGTTTGTTTTATTGAGTAAATTTATTGAACAATTGGAATTAAAGGATGATGTTTAAGATGTTGCTCAATGTAAATATTTTGTTAATATTAAGTCGCAAGTATGAACCGTATTAAAACCCAGCTAGGTACGTAGATAAAATATAAACATGGAGAGCACTTATAATGTAAATGCTAATGTACCGAATTCGATGACTGTATATACACTAGTAAATTAAAAGTTCTTGGTATTTTCTATTGCCGATGAATTAGAATAAAAAATACTAGAATTATCCCCTACGAAATCGTTTATTACTC